TACTGCAATACCATGAATTACAAAAAATAACATATTATGTAATATGAATAAGATGTGAACCGTCACATTTCTTACGATATGAACATGATTTATAAAGAACACATGCCCACACCGGTATATAGTCACGGCTTAAAATATGCATAAAACACATCGAAACCTATGATATACTTCTTAGGAAGCAATACCAGTATACGGCGGCGTTCCCTCATCCTCGCACAATAAACAGTACATTAATTCAACAAACAACAACCACGTGATTCATGCTACTTTAATGATGGATTATGGGCAGGACAGTAATTTGTTTATGGTTTAAGGTCTTTTGTTGATTTAATATGAACACCCATGCACCAAATGTGGCACCAAAGTGAACATTCGGGCTGACACTTGTTTTCACATCCCACCCATTCATTTAGTCTCTGATCGTCTGGCGGATATTGCTTCTGACAATAGCTGCAAATTGTTACAGTTTCAACTTTAGATAATTTACAATGTTCATAAACTTTTTTAGTGGCCTTTCTCGTGGGACGGCTTGAAGGGGCTGTCGTTTTAGCGGGTGATGTTGATGTTGTTTCTTGAATGGGCGGGTCTGATGTTTTCATAGAAATGGACGGTTCCATACAATGGAGGGGTGATGAGGCAGATGTCGATGGTTGTGGTGGTGATGGCTCATTAGGTATCTGAGTGATAATGTGGGTTGGTTTGGGAATTGTTTTTTGATGAACGGCTTCTGCTCAATCGGGTTTCTGCATAAGACGTTATATTATTAGTTTTCCATTAACACTCGTGTTAAAATAGTGAATGCATATCAAATTGTACAGGGAACCGATTCATAATAGTGTATTTAAGTATGCAATATAACCTCCATATGCCATTTCCAGCACAATGTGCTTATTAATCTATATTATAAGAAGTAACATTTGTACACATACACCATATTTCTCCTCAAAAAAGGGCGTGGCCATTAAAAATGTGCACCACCCCCATCGGCACAAAACTTCAGGTACACATCTGCTCCTGTGGTCGTTATGAACTCTTTCACCTGTTTGTTATAAATTGGACATAAATACATGTTATACATGATAATATACATTAATAATAGGTTTGATGTATTGTCTTGTTCATTTGAAGAGTGTATCATAATTGTCATTATTTCCTTTCTCAAAGATGAAATCAGCCATGTTTGACGCTACAGGCATGAGAGTCAGCCATGAGTTTTCAACTGTCACACACTTATCTTTTGCTGCTGAAATAACAGGATGGAGGTCATGGTTGAGGCACTTGCATTACTTTCAAAACCCTTAAACTAATCGTCCACATGTATAACTTGACCAGAGCCTCCATCTTGAGGCAGACCTTGTGAATTGTGTGCGACAGTGTCAGCAAAACCGACAATTATACAGGTGTGTATATTATTAATAATTTAGTACTTATTTGTTATACTGTGCTTCAGTGTGTATGGGTTTCGGACACTTTTCGTCAATATAGGGGGACAGCAGCATTGATCTTCACCCAATGTACCCATCCTTATACATTTCATGTAACTTGTATTACGTACACTAGCAATTGGTAACGTTACACATTTAATTGTATGTGCATCATTTTCATCCTGTAACACTGTATGCGCTTTTAATTTAAACAGGTATAAGGCCATTTGGGGGGATTTTTCCTGTAAGGGAACACCCTTATCAAAGATCATGGTTACCATCTCAGACAGGGAGGAATCACTCAAAATAGAGAAGCGTACAAAAGACGAACTAATGACCTTGGTGGAGGTCAAATTGCAACATGTACAGGTATGAAACGTGTACCTTTGATAACATAGTAATAATCGTTTTGTTCATAGATTACCCTGACTTTTGTATTCTTTGGTATGTTTTGAATTCATATTGTTATGTGTATATTAATATCGTACTTGTTTCAGGCTCATGATGACATGCGCCGTCAATGGAAGGCAGTCCGCTCCGGCACAAAGGCTAAAATACTTGTCTTTTATAAAGACCTGCTGGATGTGGAGGCTGCCATGGAATGTGACGCTTCTTATGACGGTAAACACATATTGTATACTGAATAAATTACCATTTTTATCAAAGTTGATTTCCGCTTGGAAAAGCTTTTGGCTGTCCTTGGGGTCCTCAATGAAAGCTTGTCCTCTGTGCTGACCTTTTGATGTGGAGGACGTCTTTTGGACACCTGTCTTTTTCCATGTTGCCCCCTCTTACTCTTTGTTTTCGAAAACTCTGTACTTTACTTTCCTTTTACATTCAGCAACAATGTTGTATTTTGAATGTGGCAATAATGAAATTTCATGTAGTTGCAGCTGGATGATGTTATATATCTCTTCATGTTAATAACTGATTTCCTACGCAATTTAGTGTTTTACATCCCTAAATGATGACATGCGTGCAGGGTTAACTCCCTTGGAAATGTATTCGTATTGTGTCCCTTTCGGTTCACCACAGTTCCTGACCAAATCGCTGACGAGTGCTTTTTCGCAGTTGGCGAGTGCTTTTCCGCAGTTGGCGAGTGTTCTTTCGCAGTTGGCGAGTGACATGAGCGGCCATCGTTTCCGGCAGGTTTGTGTGTGTTGAGAGGGGATATTATTGCCGTTCTGGTGTAAATTTAGAGTTGTATCGTAGCGTAATAGCAATGTGACAGGTCAAAGTTGTTTGGAAACGAGTGAATGCCTGTTTCTAAATGTTTATCAACGCATGTACCGAGGCGCGTTTTAACGTCGGCATGTGTTGCACAGTGGAGAATGTAGTACCGTACTGATCAAAAGTGACGTACCATCTTTGGACGTTTTGTTCAGACGCCGCAAGGGGGATGTTTCACCTTTTTATAGGGGTTAGTGGGTGCGTGTATTCACTCAGTTGGGGGTGTTTCACTCAGGTGGGTCCATTTCCTTTATTTCAGAGGTATCCCCAACCTGTTGTGGCAAGGACAAGACATTATTTTGTGGTGATTCTAATTAATCAGTGTATATTGGTTAGGACATTTGGAACTACTTATTCACCGGCACGATATTGAAGTAACATCGTTAAACAATTTAACTATAGTCTGTTTGCTTTAATCCATCTCTTCATATTGATACTATATGCATGTGCTAAATGTGCTGGCAGCCGTGTGTACGCTTGTATAATGTATATATGTGTTTATTTACAGGTATATGTATGTGCGCGTGTATGTCCATGTAGGTATATGTAGGTGTATATGGATAAATGTATTTATTCTGACTATCCTGCTAATCCATTGGAAAGTAGTTGCCTTCTCCATCTCAAAAGCCAGAGCTCATGACAACAAGGGATATTTCTTTGTTTTTATTTTCTTTATTATCTTCTATTAATATGCAAAACAAAAACTAATTCCAGTTGGTACTGGCCTATATTTCAAGAGAAAGATGGATTATTAATACATGGGAGTTAATGAGAAAATACATATAGTCTCAGCTAATTGTAGAGGCCTAGCCACAAAGACCAAATGAAATGAAGTCATGAATTTATAAAGAATAAAGAAATTCTCTATCATTTGTTTGCAAGATGTTCATATTTCCAAAGATTATGAAAATTTTATGAAAAATGAGTGGGGACGTGATAGCGTTATTGCATCGTACAAGTCAAATGCACGAGGTGTAGCAATCCTCTTCAACATCAATTTTGAATATAAAATACAGAAGACGTGTGTTGACGATAATGGTAATTATATTATTTTAGCCATTGCGGTAGATGGTATAAAGTTTACGCTCACCTCAGTGTATGTCCCAAACTCCGATCACCCTTCCTTTTACAAAACATTATTTGATTAAAATGATGATATGGATAATGAGTCCTTCGTAATATGTGGAGATTGGAACTTGATCCTTCAATAGACTAACAAAACTATACAGATATCAACAATCCTAATGCAAGAAAATAAGTCTCAGATAAAATTGAATCATTAAACCTACTAGATGCACGGAGATAACTCTATCCACACAACAATACATTTACTTGGTGGGAAAAGAACCCTCGTCAAGCTAGACTAGACTTTTTTTCTGGTGTCTGAAGAATGAACCGTGACATTAAAAAGATCTTCAATCTAAGGGGCACGGGTGGCCCTGTCGTCTAAGGCGCCGCGATTCGCTGTGCAGAGTTGCGTCTCTTGGGCACGCCAGAAACTTATGATTGTGGGTTTGAATCTCGGTTCGCCCCGATTATGTTTCTAGGTTTGTCAGTACCATACCCGTGCTCGTGGGTTTCACAAAAGTGGTAAAAGTCTGAGACCTGCATTACTTCGGGCTTTCCTCCCATATTAAGCTGACACGCAGTGATGATGGTTGGTTTGTTGTTTAACGCCGCACTCAGCAGTATTCCAGCTATATGGCGGCGGTCTGTTAATAATCGAGTCTGGACCAGACAATCCAGTGGTTGATATCCTGAGCATCAATCCACGCAATTGGGATCGATGACATGTATCAACCAATTCAGCGAGTCTGACCACCCGATCCCGCTAGTCGCTACTCAATGCTCCAATGGAAATTCGAAGAATTGAATTTTTAAGATTCCACCTTATGATTTTGATAAGCTACATACACAATTAGAATGTGAGTATTCCACAGCATGATGACTAATTGATAGAACATTTGATGGACCTTATTATTCGGCATGTTTGCCGGGAAGGATAAATGTGCATTATTAGGAGGAATACAGTGACTTGATTTTTGACAATTCACCCGAACCCACTTTGCTTCATTTACTTATTTTGATCTGTAACAAATAGTGAGTGAGTGAGTTGGGTCTATCGCCGCTTTTAACAGTATTCAATTTATATCAAGGCGTGTCAGCCTAATTTTGGAGGAAAGCCCGAAGTGATGCAGGTCTCAGACGTTTCGGTAAAACCCATGAGTAAGGGTATGGTGCTGTCAAACCTAGAAACATAATCGGGGAGAATCTGGTTTCGAAACCACAAACATAGGTTTCTGGCGTGCCCAAGGGACGCAACACTGCACAGCGTATCGCGCCGCCTTAGACGACTGGGCCACCCGTGCCCCATGTAACAAATAACAATAACTATGCCCATATCTATTATGCGTCAAATCCATGCCTAAAAGCGTGCTGAAAACACTACAATATTAAACCGGTCAATGAATCGGTGTGAATAGTTTGATTCTTATTCTCAGCTCCCTAGGGAGTACACTACCCAAGCTGCCTTTGAAACACATTACCACTTGCCTAAGGAGACGCCACATGTGGTACATGTGCTTCAGTGTGGGGCAGGACCGAAGCCCTGGCAACTTTCAGGAGTCAAGCTGCTGAACGCGGTCACCTATCCAACTCCACTCCGAGACCGACGTTGCTTACCTCCACCTGATTTGTGACCCGCGATGTGTGACCACCATCATTGTAAGCCATTTTTTCCACGAAAATAATTGTATACCATTTATACAAAATCATGAACTCATTCTTGAAGTACATCGAATGTGGATGAAAAGGGAGCAGTTGAACCTTTGATTTTGTGACCGTACAGTGTACGGTTTGCCCACTGTTGATGTTTTTCAAAATCGTATGTGCCCTCACGCATTAGTTTATTATCGCCATGCATGGGTTACAACCTTACAAAACATACGCTGTCCATCTTCAGAAAATTTTGAGCTGTTTGATCCATCAAGATGTGATTGGTGACAAACATACTGGAAATTCAATACTTCACGCTCTCTGTTACTTTGGATTGTCACAATGAACATATTCAAAAAGTAATAATGCGCATGTAAGAAAGAAATGCTCCCGTGTTGAAATAGTGTTACATAGTTGAAGAGGAATATGAATATGTCTAAATAAACCAAGGATTAATAGCACAGTAACTTCTATTATCTCAATCTCAGAGGAGCACCTGATATACATTAATCGAGGAGTCCCATACATCTGTAAATCCTTCTGCTTGCAAAGTGTCTGATGCAGCATGACCATGTAGGTTATTGCCATGGGAATTATTCCGGACCAGATGTATCGCGTTCTTCGCTCTGAAAGAGAATTAAAAATTGACTTTCACTTCTGATTAGTTCATTGGAGAATGAACCTTTATACAGTGAGGGCCAAACTGGTGAACATTGGATCTTGGAAGGTTTTGCGCAGATAGTAGCAATGCCCAGTCAAATTTAGAATTTTGCATATTGTGTCAACAAATCACTGATTTAGCTTCAGAAATCCTTCAGAAATACATATCATAGGATGGTATTTCTCCCACTTGTCTGATAAACTTTCAGAAAAGCCCTTTTTTGACACCACCGTGGAGAGCCAGAAATTTCATTTTGGTCTAAAAAATGGCAACAAATGAAAATGGGTAATTACATGTTAAGAATATGTTTATTTGAATTAAACAATAATATTTTAGTCGCATAACAGCAGTAATCCATGGCCAATTTTGGTGCATTTTCATCTAAACTGAGTTTTGGGAATAGAAAAATGACTTTGAAATGTGGCGAAAATGTCCTATTTTGGGGGGTGGGGAATCAGTGACACTTAAGACACATCTGAGCTTCCAGGCATCGTTTCTAGGACAGCATCAACTGTGCCTGTCAGTATGGGAATGCAGAAGATTTCCCTAAGCTTGAAATGTCTTACCTACAACAAACAAATATGAAAAGAAACATAAGGAGTCTGTATTAAACTTTCTTTTGTCTTTCAACAGTTCTTCACTCTGTATTAAACTTTCTTTTGTCTTTCAACAGTTCTTCACAGTACTCCAATTCATTTTTCATGCTTTTCTCTTTTTGTGTTGCCTCTTCCAATGTGCAAATAGAATCTTCCAAAGCTTCAGTTGACATTTCGATATATTCCTTTAAAGATTTCAGCTCTTGTTGGTTGTATTCATATTCCTTCCCAATTTTCTTGACTTTTGACGCATTTTTGCCCAGGCTGGTTTTAGTTTGAGCATGGACACCCTTTTTCTCTCCTGTTATTTTCCTCTCATATTTGGCTTAAGGGTTTCCAATTTCTGTCTCTTTACAGCAAATTCATCAGTGGCTTTATTTAGTTTTCTTTTTAAATTGTAATTTTCCCTTTCTAGAGATATCATTTTTTCTTTCTTGTTTTGCATTTGTGCGTTTACCTTGCTTACTTCATCCTTCAGGCTATTAACTTCCCGTCCAAGGCCTTGCAATGCCATAACCTGACCTCGTTCTCTCAGTAGTTTGTACTGGCACAATGAAATGATCAGCTCTATATTTTTCCTTAACTTGTCCTTTCTTCTTTTTATCTTCTTGCTGTATTCGGTGAAACTTACTCATTAAGGCATTAAAATTAAGCTGCTGGAGGGGAACATTAAAAACCTGTCCAACCCACGTAGCAAACATTTGACCGTTCCCGGGGGCAAATTTGTGAATTTCAAATACTAACCCATTTGTTTGAAATTTAGTCGGAACTACACTCACATCAAGCTGTGCTTTCATGCCGTCAATATGTTGCAACTGTTCAAGTAATGGGAACATTTTCAAATATCTCTGCTGATTTTCCAAACCTTTGTCTTTGCTTTTTCAATGCTACGTTTTTGGATCTTGAACCCAGACCCACTACTACTAAAAATACTGCTGAACTGAACAAGTGCTGCAATGTTTCTCTTGAAGAATTTTTTCACTCACAAAGTTCACACTCAAAAAGATCATGCAGCCACTGTGCAACCTTATTATTTTCTGATAAATTGAGCATAAGTTGATGTTACAGATTCACAATTTTCTGTAAGTATCAAGAAGATTATTCCAATCATCCAATTTGCCTCACCCCATCCCCCATGATTCAGATTGGTGTTCAATGTTTCATACATGTTCACTGTACGTTACATTAATTAAAACATACATTTAATTACTTATTGTAACACATATATGTGACATCAAAATTGTTCCTCCTACCTACATTAAAACAACGTTCTTTATTGATAATAAACATGTTTCAGTCACAAACACATGACATTGACAATGTGAAATGGTTTTGCCTTTTTAATTTTAGTATTTTTAAAACTTTAAACACATATCATAGTTTGTCAACGCAAAAAATCCCCAATGTCATAAATATATTCTCCAATACAACATTCTTAGATTTACTACCCCAAATTACGTGAATTTTTGCAGGATACAGATGTAGTTAAAAATAAATACTGTAGTGTTTGTGAAACATGACCGAAGGGAAGTAACTGCGTAGTTATGTAAAAACTGCATACCGCTAAAAGAAGTAGGGTGAGGTCCGATTTAATTATTTTTTTTATATATTGTCCCTTATTAGTTACATCTACAACACACTGAAAATTATAACAAATGATTGCAGAAGAGAATAAACCTATTTACAATCGCGTATTCGGCTGTATTGATAGTTTTAAGAATAATTGTTGCCTTCATCAAAGTAACTCAACTTCGAAGAAAATTCTAAAAATAGCAGCTTATGAAATACGCACGCAACCTTTACCCTAGTTTGTGATGTACGCTGATTTTCCCGCTTTCTACGTTAATCAATGAGTTGAGAGATGGGATATTGAACCGACCCTCCGAGGTGTGGTGAACCAGCTTTGAGAATAATTGCAGGAAGAGTTACGTTATCTTGCCATGAGCATTGGTACAGATAGTGTTGTCTAGTAATTGTCTGCAATGGGCCCTTCATGATTAAATTGCTTCGTTAATTATTTGTGGAAAACAACTGACACTGCTGTATGAAGATATTCACCAGGTACTAGGCGACTCGTTAAGGTAGTCGTGTACATTCACCCAGAAAGGGGCATCCCCGTATTGCAAATATTTATTAGCACTGATTTATCTCAGGCTAATCGGTCAAACAGACACTGAATCTGTGACATTAATGCAAAACTGGTGAAACGATTTACTTTTTTTAGTTCACTGAGAGTGGAATAAAATACATGTCCTCTTAAAAGGTGAGTCAATTTAGTAAAGCATAGGTACCAGTTTTACGAGTTTCGACCCTGGCACAGGGAAAGTTGGAATATCACTAGCTTGTTTCTTCAACGAACTGCTGCTCTGATGACAGTTTGATAAATATAAGCATCCTTTAAGAGTAATATAATTCCACCAGGACTATATTGTTCATCAATGTTTTCTTAATGTTATATGTTTATAACGGTACATATAGTTTAATGAATGTGAATTGTAACTATTACAGCCAACACAATGATTTATATTGTCCAGTCCAATTTAGCTTGGACAAAGGAATTATTACATATTTCGGCTCACGTTCTTCAAATATTGTCGTATACGATCTACATGCCTTTGGACTTTATGCATTCTTGCCGTAAAAGGCAAACAAGCGGGATCGGGTGGTCAGGCTCACTGACTTGGTTGATACATGTCATCGTATCCCAAATGCGTGTATCGATACTCAAGATGTCAATCACAGGATTGTCTTGTCCAGACTCGATTATTTACAGACCGCCGTCATATAGCTGGACTATTGCTTACCGTTTTGTACTTTGCAAAATCATCACTGAGAGTTTGGATCAAGCCCTCAGATCTTTCCAGAGCTGAAATAGAAAACAACACATGATGCTGACTCATGAAGCAGCACTTCTGAAGAATTCGATCATCGCAATTATCTTCATAATGGCTTCTGCGTGTACAGCACTTACTTTCCAAATAGATGGTTTCACCCCGTGTCTGCGACAGAGGCATTATCTGCTTCTCAGTGTCTTCAACAATGTCCTCCAGAATTTCCTTCGCTTCCTTCATAAAACCTTTCTGTAATTTGAAAACAATTAACTGAATATCTTTGAGCGCATTCCTATGCATGTTCACCATTTAAAGGTTTGACACGTAAACGAAAACTGCCTTGACACTTTACCAGTCATACAAGTGAATATCCGGGTTAGAATAGCCATCCATGCTTGTCGTTAGAGGCAACTATGCTTGTCGTCAGAGGCGACTATCGGGTTCGGGGGTCAGGCTCGCTGATTTGTTGATGCATGTCATCGTATCCCAATTGCGTAGGTCGATGCTCAAGATGACAATCACTGGTCCTGACCCGATTATTTACCGATCGACGTCATATAGCTAGGCGTCGTTAAACAAACACACAGTTTGGATGTAAGTGACACTTTCGGTTATTGTTCACTGCTGTTTGTCACAAATGTATTTAGCTACGTATGTACTTAATGTTTGTCACGTCCCATGAAGATCCGGGGTAGAATAGATCTTCAGCAACCCATGCTTGCCGTAAAAGGCGACTACGCTTGTCGTAAAAGGCGACTAACGGGATCGTGTGGTCAGGCTCGCTGACTTGGTTGATACATGTCATCGGTCCCAAATGTGTGGATCGATGCTAATGTTGTCAATCACTGGATTGTCTGGTTCAGACCTGATTATTTACAGACCGCCGTCATATAGCTGGAATATTGCTGAGTGCGGCGTTAAACAACAAACTAAAACCAAACCAAAATGTTTGTCACATGCAAAACGAGTTAATATGTCACCTTCAGTTGACCCAGATACACTGTGATCTTTTCCTTGAGCTGCTTAAACATCTTACTCTTCAACTGGTCAATGGTGCTTGCCATGATGTCTTTGACTCTCTTGAAAGCCCCGGGACCTCCTTGCTCCGAACATGGCACGTATGCGCTCTGCATTTGTTCCTTTGAAAGAAATAGATTTATTCATAGATTATATATATTGACATACAATATAATACATGTATCTGTAATTGATTAGATACGTTGAAACATTTAAGGACACCTCATTTATATTAAAAAAACAGAGGGTCCTGACTGTAAGCGTCAGTATATTTTACACTATTTGTTTATATTTGAGCGTGTTTGTTGTTTAACTCAGCAATATTGATGGCGACCTGTAAATAATCAAGTCTGGACCAGACAATCCAGTTATTGATATGAGGAAAAACGACCACGTCATTAGAGTACGATGACATCCAGTCAGCCAAGCCACTGAGCCTGACAACACTATTGATTTAGTTATAGATTGTAGATAACCTGGTCTAACCTGATATCCCCATGGTTATTTATATTTCTCTGTTCATAAAAAAAACACATTTGCTAAATGTTATCCTACCTGTACGAAGTCTGGAATCATGTGCGTTATTGCTCTTTGTTGCCTTTTGATTGTTTTCTCCCAGAGTGAATCCAGTCTCGTTAACTGTAAACAGATGAGTATATATTTATGAATACATTTGGCTACATATGAAATAGTCTATACATAACAATTATGTTATAATTATTATTGTCAACATCAACAATAAATAGATGAAACAAGGTCATGATAAAGACTGTTAAGAAACATAAATGTTGCTCTTTTATTAAATCGACGTAAAGAGCCGGGAAGATCTGGGTAGAGAATAGGTCTTCAGCAACCCATTCTTGCCTTAAGAGGTGAATATGCTTGACGTAATTGGCGACTAACGGGCTTGGGTAGTCAGGCTCAGTGACATGTTTGATGCATGTCATCGTATCCCCATTGCGTGCATCGATACTCATGATATCAATCATTTGACTGTCTGTTTCAGAATCGAATATTTACAGACCGCCGTCATATAGCTGGTATATTGCTGAGTGCGGCGTTAAACAACAACCAAACTACAAATCATCAAACTAAAGAAATATATATTATAATACTTATCTATCTTACTTTTCCAAGTGTATCTTTCTGCAACTGAGTCAGATCCTTTAGAAGTGTTGCGTCACTGTCACCAAGGGATCTCATGATGGCGTCTGTGAGGCGAGTTATGGCGATGGAAGCAGGCTCTTTTATTTTGCTTTTCACAGTTTCAATCCATGCCTGTTCACTGAAACAACATGTGTTTATGAAATGAGGATGATAGTTTCTTTGTAAGATTTAATAACCGATTGAATCATCTGTCTACGGCACATGTTGTCCACACTTACCTGAAACGAGGCGTCCATTCCTTCGAGAGAATCTTTACAAACGGATCTGCAAGGTCTTGATTCATATTAATGACGCGGCCAATCGAACTTGATCTAAAGATTCCCATTCGGCACACAGTTGCCCTGTAGGTCTTGTAGGCCAGACCCCCCTCGCTTCTCTGTTCCGTGTTATTAAGGCATGTCACAATATTAAAGTTATGTCAAAGGTTTGAAACAAATATTACATGCTTTCATTGTATTTAAACTTATTCGTAAAGCAGCAACCTTCTACCTTAAACTTTAGGATGAAATACAGTAACTGCATAAAGCAAATACAATACAGTGTTCTTCTGTGCAACTACATGTACTTTCATGATATGACTTACATTCGGAAAACTTTCACATATCAACATTTATCACTTTAACCATGTAAGATGTGTCCAAATGAAGATCAAATAAATATGACCAATGTGAAAGCGTTTGCTTCATACATTGATGAGTATTCGATTTCCCTTTCATCACCACATGTATTGTGAATGGTTTATATATTTCATTTAGGTGTCTTTTGTTTGATGTCGATAGCTCAGATACCAGAATGCTAAGCAGACCTACCAGTCCTGCCCACGATTCAACTGTGGGTTTTGCCTGTTTTATCGCTTCCCATGTTGCTTCATCAAGAGTTGCACCAAGGACGGCAATCCATGACGACTGCAGGTGGGAGTCTAACTCATCTAGTATTAATTGTCCTTCATCTTGTAATGTGTCAAGATGACGCTCAAGCTCTTCCCTCAGGGCCTGAATTAAGAGATAAGAAATATGTATATGTACTTATATTTACCTTGTCTGCTCGACGTCCGTTTGACATCTATTGTTTCCAAAACCTATTGATAACATACTTGCTTCATCTTTGGCACAAGGGAATATTGGTGGACCTGAATCTAGTTAAAGTTGGTTTGGTTTGTTGTTTAACGCCGCACTCAGCAATATTCCAGCTATATGACGGCGGTCTGTAAATAATTGAGTCTGGACCAGATAATCCAGTGGTTTACATCATGAGCATCGATCCACGCAATTGGGATTGATGACTTGCATCAACCCAAGTCAGCGAACCTGATCACCCGATCCCGCCTTTAACGACGATCTATTCTACCCCGGATCTTCACGGGTCGAATCTAGTTCAAGAGCAAGCTGAATCCATCGCTCACATTTAAGCCATTTTTGCTATATTACTATGTCACCTTCGTGTGAGAGTAAATGTTGAAACTGACGTTTCACTACCTTAGTGAAAACCAGGAGGATGGACACGGTGCTGACAAACCAAGATATCTGGAACTCGAACTCGAGATATGTAGAGCCTGGCATATCTAAGGAATGGAACTGTATGACGAACTGCAGCGCCACAGATGGCAAGGGACGTCTTTGCCCTTCACACACATGACAAAATTGTGTCTCCATTTACTTGTTGTTGATAACAAAGCTTTGGCTATTTCTGTTGCGTGCTTCTGAATTTCGGCGACATTTTTCGACCATAACTGCTGCCATGTAATATTTTTATTCACTTATAAGTAGTAGAATTATAGTATCACAGAATAGTATAGCCTACCGTCGTTCCTCTTTTTGAATTTATGATATACATCAGTATGCCATCTATGATTGCCTGGAAATCATCTTGCAGAGACATCCTGTGTTCTTCCTGTTTTTTCCAAACTAGATCCTGCAGATAGGTTCTTAAACCAGGGATTTCGGTATCTTCTGTTGACAGAAACACCTGCAATAGTAGGGAAGTATAAAGCATTTTAACGAAACGCCAGTAATACAGAATTTAATCCCTATTGTCATGATGGTGTGAGTAAATGAGTTGGGCTTAATGTCACATTGTCTGACACTTGAACAAAAGAATTCTACGAATGAAAGAGAGGATGATTTGGGGGGTCTTACAACGGCAGGGGGAACATCACTAAATGGACTTTACGCATTTTACCCATGTCGGGAATCGAACACTGTCCATTTTGTTTACTTACTGGTGAGTAAGGATCAGATACATGGATGAACAACTTCCATATTACAATTAGGAGTGACGTTTTGGCGGAGGTCGCTCCTAATTGTAATAACGAAGTTGTTAATCCTTAAATCTTATCCTGACTACGTACTTCAACTTCTAAATGCCTCTAAAAGACGTTACTCACTGGGGACTTGTCGTCATCGTCGTCGTCAGAAGTGACAAGGTTGCTTAGATTGATATAGTCACTGGAACTGACACAAAACACCTTCGGGTCATGGGGACATTCTTGATCATGAGGAGAAGGCTGGAATTAAATAGAATGAGTGGGTATGGTTTTATGCGACTTTGAACAGAATTACAGTTGTGAAGTCTAGGGAACAATGGAAAGCTCAGCTGTCTTGTCATTAGTTTTCTTAAACACGTGAACTAAAGGAGCATTAGTCCCTATGTAAGAGGATGGTAGAACCATGCCTGGGATCTCTGCATATAAGAATACATGTCTTCTTCTAATAGTTTATTTCTAATCTGCTCTTTTCGAGATGAACACAGTAGATTAGTCATTTTATACTTTGACCTAGGACAGGAATTCTTTCTCAAAATTATGTTATTAATGGTACTTTTGTGTCACAACTGATCTTTCTTTATTAATATTAATTCTCACCGGGCTTGATATTTTAGGCAGAATAGAATTCCTGACAAACTTGTTCCTTTCAACAGCACACGTTGATGTTTTCTCTCTCTTCAACTGGTCTATTGCCGCATGAAGACGTTGTTGCTAAAATGATGTAATGTCATCAACTTCTGTATGTACTATTTCAACATAGCAATTCAATTAACGTTTCTTTCTTTGGATTACATGATCTTACTTTTAACAAGAACGGAATTATATAATGATTGTCAGGTTTATGAGATGAAAACTAATGATGAATTTGTACACAAACTGGAATGCAAAAGATTATGAAGCAACACAACCAGGGATTGGGATCCTTGCAGTTTTGACTTGAACCATATGTTCTTGTGCTTTTTCAGGTGAATAATTTACTTGCCTATGCATGTGTTGCCTGCACCGGTGGTGCAGGATACGCTCACCTTTTCGCGAACACATGGTGTCATCAGTATAGCGATTCATAGTCGGCATCGTATAATGGAACGATTATGGATGCTTTGACACTTTAATTTTTTATACAAATGAATGCGAAAAGACAAACCTGCTGGATAAGAGAGTTTTCACTACGGCAATCCACCTGAAATTGACTCATTGTAGTTTAAAATATACATGAGTTTTATGAGATATATCATATTATATCGTGCATTAACACGATGTACCAATGTGGGAAATGGAACCCATTTCTTAAGCCTGACGGGCGTGCGAATAGTCTATTGACATGGACCACGGTTTCACAAAGTGTTATAAATAGTAACCATTAAATAGCCATGTTTGCACATTGAGTAAGCGAGAATTCAAGTACACAACAAAATAGTTGAGTGCTTGCTTCCGTGCTCCGAAACTTACTCCCATTCAAATATTGGAAGAATGGCTTCTTGAGAGACATATTTTCAATATATCTAGGACACAAAACGGCGGAACCTTGACTGAGTATTGTAAAATTCAGTAACATCAACTTAGCTTGAGATTTGGCGCCATTTTGTCATGAAGTGTGACGACTGCATATAGCACAAACTTAACTTCCTTGGACTTCAACTATGGACATAATGACGACAAAGAACGCTTGCATGTTGGACATTATATGTACTTTGCGTATATATATTGCGTGGGAATACTTTAAGGTTACACATTTTGAAAGTTGTGTCAAACTGGTTAGTTGTAGTTAATGCGTTTGTGGGGAATTCTAGAAATGGCGGTGATTAAGTACATGTACCCGTAAAGACTTTTATAGCTTTTACCTGTTTATCCCTCTTTAAATCTGCTAACTTTTGTTGCAAGACTTTTTCCTCCTCCTTGTATCGCTGACCTTTGGCTGTCCACTCTGCTGCCTGTGGTAACGGCAGTTTTCTGCGAAAGAATATCCCCAATATGACACGAAGTCTACAAATACGTAAACCACTGAATGAGTGATTGAGTTTGATTTAACGCTGCTTTGAACATCATGTAAGTAATATCATTTATAGGTTAGCCCAAACTGATGAGAGTATAATAATCTCCCATCGGTAATCGGATCGTGGTTTGTCTAAGTTCTAACAAGAATAACGTTGTACCTCAAAAGGGATGCAACATCCACACTTTTAAAAATATATTTAATATATTTTAAACTACAGTCTATTTACAGGATGACATTAAAACATCAGTATGTTTTATCCCTAAATAATATACAAGAGACACCAAAACATAAGACTAATTTCAAAATGATGTTCTACTTACCTGATGACCTCTGACGGTTTGACATCATCTGTGTGTGTACAGGCTACAACTGTCTCAGTGTGGTCCATCAACAGCTGACTAAATAGTTTGTCCCCTAAAGTTTGCTCGACTGTTTCGTTGTCAACAGCTCTCTCAATTTTCGTAACGACCAGCAGCACATCACAGGTTTGTATGTACTGCAAGAAGGCAATGTCATAATATGTATAAAATATACAATGTACAAATTTGTCTGAAGACGTGGTAGTCACATTACACACACATCTGCGTTTCCTACCTTTCTGGCAACATCTGCTCTTGCTGCGTTTGAATCTCCGACTCCAGGGAGGTCAACCAAGTTAACGCCGCTCCGACACAGGCCTGAATCCGGTACTTTCAGAACCACTTGTTTCACTATTGGCCAGAACTGACAGTCATCATCAGTTTTCTCACTGTATGTGCTGATCTTGTCCCGTAGCTCTCTTGCCTAAACATATCATACAAGTTCTGTAAGTATTTGAGTGGTTTGTGTGCATATTTATCACGAATTTATCCTTATGGACCCAGACAACTGCCGAACACAACTTTACCAATGCTGGAAATTGTTGATCCAGATTGAAGACTACATTGCGTTGGTAAACACGTCGTTCAAATTCGTCTCATAGATGTCCAGTGGGGTTGCAATTGGGTCTTAATAAGTCATATAGCTTATCACTGAAACTACAAGTTATTGTTCAACTAAGTACTGCTTGTAGGGCTTTGGCCATTCGAGAAATAATCTCGATTCGTAACATAACATTATTTGCACATTCACTAAATATGTGTGGGATTAATTCTTTGTATGCTCTTAATGATCATCTCAATTAATCCTATAACATTTTGTCTGACGGCCTGAACGGTCTCTCGCTTGTTTACGTCTTCCTGGAACATACATTGGCATCTCCTCTTCGCCTATTCAAAATAAGACCCGTGAAGATCCGAGGTAGAATTGGTTTTCAGCAACCCATGCTTGCTGTAAAAGGCGACTATGCTTGTCGTAGGAGGCGACCAACGGGAACGGGTGGTAAGACTCGCTGACTTGGGTTGATGTATGTCATGGATCCAAATTGCGTGAATAGATGCTCATGATGTCATTCACTGGATTGTCTCGTCCAGACCCGATTATTTACAGACCGCCGTCATATAGCTGGAATATTGCTGAGTGCGGTGTTAAACAACAACCAACAAACAAACCAACCATTAAAAATTAGAAATCTGAATCTGAAATCTGAAATCTATAAACGATATCTTAAAACGATGTGAACTGTTCCTTGTGTTCTCCCGTTGTTGTTATAATTTGCCCTTTTTCAGTACTCAAAAAATGATACTCACACTGGAGTCAAGCAGTTTCTTGTCAGCTCCAAGCAGTTCAGCTGTGTCAGTATCATCAGCTAACAGGGTATCGAGGTTTGTAGGCTCAAAGTCACCATACATTAAAGTAAACATTGCACAAGCTTCATTGTACACATAATTATCCTCATCGTTGTCACCATCATTATCCTCATCGTTGTCACCATCATTCTGTCTCAGGTCATGCCTTAAAACATTGAGGTCTCTTTCCCAGTCCTAAATCAACAAAGGATTAAATCAATCATTGATTAAAATACTGATGAAACTTGGTTGTTTGTATATTATGTTGTAGTTTAATGATACATGCTAACATTATTTGAATTCCTTCCTAATCCAGTTCTTTTAGAAACTACATTTAATTTGACACAAAGTTCACGAATCGCCATAAAGAAAAGATAAGCATCAAATCCGATAATTAAGCCCACACCTGCGGACAACCCACAATTAACGACAGGCCAAGTACACAACGTAATTGCACTAAATATCCAAATATATTCACTACATCTAAAACAAACGCTTTACACAAATAAAGTCAAAAGAATCATTCTACTCCCGTGTGTGTCATACTGCTTTCAGAAACGAGTGTATTGCATTTCCAGAGCGAGAGCGAGGGTAGTACAGGAATTACCTATTATTTCTTAATCCTTATGAGCTCCCCTTTTGAAAGAATGCACAGATCACGACCACCGATTTATAAAACCACAATGAATGATTGTCGAATGACGTCAACAGTCTTCAGTTATGTTGCCGTTTCTTACGTGGTGTCATTCTATACTATAAGGGTAACGCTATTTTTCAGAGCATTATCATTTGCACAAGCCCGAGGACTTCCATTAACAACCATAGACTGAGGGCTTCTGCAAATGATAATGCCCTGAAAAATAGCATCGTTATTATTGCTAAAATGGATGGAATTTGTTATCAAATAAAAAGAAACAACAATATCGATTTTGAAACATTTACTGCAATCAACACGAATGTCACTGACCCACTTTTACATATATGGAAACGTCAGAGAACCAGATGACGTCACTATTGAACGTTACGTCACCTATCCCTATCGTATGACGTCACCTAACAACGGGCGTGATAATGGCCCGTCGTCAAGTAATATGAGGGCATTATCAAGTTACAGTGGCCCGCTCATTTCTGATAACATGCGGGCGGTTTAATGATAATTCTATCCATTTTAACTATAATTTACAATAACATTCGAGTGACGACAACAATGTCGTACGGATGATGTAAACAATATGATGGTGCGCTTGATATTTGCCCTAGGGAACATTCATGTATGATATTTATGAACTCTGTTATTTCTAACCTGCTGGTTAGAAGTGATGCTATTCCACATGCCACATACTTACTGCATATCAAAATTCAAAAATAACACATGCAGGAATTGCTGGATAATAGATAAAAAGGATAACTTTCATAGGCATTCTTTGTCCATTATTGTCGACAGACGGACAGATGCGATTCATTTTTGTAAGGTGAGCTACACGGTAAGTGCCTGATACCTCTGCAGTGAGAAACTCAATGTCCGCTTCAAAACTAGAGCTTGTTTTGTTTTCTTCTATTTTTATGGCCACCGATGTACATGCTCTTCCCATTCCGGCCGTAGGCAACAGGTACGGCTGATCCAACAGGGCGTTCAACAGGGAGGACTTGCCTGCCCCAGTGTCTCCATATACAGCTACTGTAATTTCTGGAGGATCACCATGTTGCCTTATCTTTTCAAGATCCTTTCTGAACAAATGTTTACAGAGAAAAATAAAACAGTGAGGAGAAAAATGTAATATTACAATGCATGTAAGGTAATAAGCCATTTTCCAATTTCGCGAAATAAATCCGTTTATAGTGACATCACTTTGCAAAACAACGTGACGGCGGGCAATCCGTCAACACAACGGTTGCTATAATGACTTGTGAAAGTCAGATAACAGGTAGACCGCCTCCGTAACTTGTTGTTACCTTGTCTGGCGCTCGGCATTAAGGGGCTAAAACAAGGACTGGTCGGCTCGGTGTCAGTGTGGGGAATTCATGTTAAACTGCGGCATGGTATCTCAGTGAGCTAGCACTATAAATCAGCATCAGTCCGGACAAGTACAAGCAGCCACACCACACACACACACACACATACACGTACATGCACGTCGCTATATAAGTACAATAATCTTGGACGCCACGTTAAACCCCTTTCACCTCACCAGATAACAGGTTTTATACACAAGTTATGGGAATAACACACACACATACATATATACGGTATTATACATAAACACATATACCTACATACACATACACACACAATACATTTATACGGTATTATACACAAACACATATACCTGCATACACACACAATACATATATACGGTATTATACACAAACACACATACATGCATACACATACACACACAATACATATATACGGTATTATACACAAACACATATACCTGCATACACACACAATACATATATACGGTATTATACACAAACACATATACCTACATACACATACACACACAATACATATATACGGTATTATACACAAACATATATACCTGCATACACACACAATACATATATACGGTATTATACACAAACACATATACCTGCATACACATACACACGCATACATATATACGGTATTATACACAAACACATATACCTGCATACACATACACACGCATACATATATACGGTATTATACACAAACACATATACCTGCATACACATACACACGCATACATATATACAGTATTATACACAAACACATATACCTGCATACACATACACACACAATACATATATACGGTATTATACACAAACACATATACCTGCATACACATACACACGCATACATATATACGGTATTATACACAAACACATATACCTGCATACACATACACACGCATACATATATACGGTATTATACACAAACACATATACCTGCATACACATACACACAATACATATATACGGTATTATACACAAACACATATACCTACATACACATACACACGCATACATATATACAGTATTATACATAACGTATATACCTGCATACACACACACACAATACATATATACGGTATTATACACAAACACATATACCTACATACACATACACACGCATACATATATACGGTATTATACACAAACACATATACCTACATACACATACACACACACAATACATATATACGGTATTATACACAAACACATATACCTGCATACACATACACACACAATACATATATACGGTATTATACACAAACACATATACCTGCATACACATACACACACGCATACATATATACACGCGTGAACATATATACATGAGAAACATTATATATTTTTTGTAATACAATGTCACATTTGTTAAAAATAATTAATATATTTATATAGTACGAGAGTGGTTGAAAATGATAGACATTTTAAATTTAAATAATTTTTAGAATTTATTCTTATTTGTCTTCGTCGTTCACTGTCAAACCATGGTTTATCTTTTGGCCTTATTGTCACATAACGGCTTGGTATGCACAAGCCTATAAAGTTTTTAAACGTGGACAGAAAAATACAACATATTACATCAATAGGCTGCATTAAACAAACGCATCCAATCATTTGATTCAATCAATTACCATTTTTATAAATCTTGTTTTTAGATCAATGCAGTTTGCGAAACAACAACCCCATGTTGTCACTGAAACCGTGCTGAAGTCGACAACACTCGACTCAAAATAATTACAATCGTCACTGATAACAAACAATAGGTTCAAGCAGAGTTTGTGAATGCTGCGTGACGCGTGTCGGCTCTCCGATTGCATAACGTAAACTCTTCCTCACTAAAATATCGTGCAAATAATGAAGGTTGCTGTCAAGTAAACCTTCAATAATTAAAACTTGTAGAAGAAGAACGCCATTGTACCACTAAATACATGAGTAAATGAAAGGTATTTACATGCAATGAATTACTTCTGAGTGTGATGAAATATACAGTAGCAGACAATCTAAATGTAATGAAGAGCTGTGGTACACATGTGCGTGTAGTTTGCATTATGACTAAATGTGTCAACAAACGCAATGATTTACGAGAGTCCAATGTATGGACACTGGGTGTTTGTGTTGTAGTCAACACATATGACTGTGATGGAATAATGACATTACTGATACAAATGAATGATACAGGTTTTTTTTTATCGATCTCAATCTCATTAAAATAATGGTCATTCAATATGTACGTCTTCATTTATTAGAACATTATCTTGAACATATACATGCATACAAATAACAAATGAGAAAAAGAACTGTGCAATCTCATTAAAATCAGACCTCAGTTCTCACTACCGCTAAACAAAGATCTGAAGACATCCCATTAGGGGTCACGTCAGAACGACCTTTCATCCGACCTATCAGAGCGTCGCTTACAAGATTATAAAAGTGACAGTCGGAATGTGATTTCTAATCATGCAACCTCGAAAACTTTAACACGGTGTATTCCGAACGATGGTTACGGGTCCAACGACTGAATCCATACAATCTATACCATCTATTAGCCATTCCAGAAGGTTCTTTTGTTCAGGTTTCATATTTGTAATTGAGAATTTGTCAAAATATGTTTCGAAGCGTAGTCGTCAGTTTGCCATTAGTGCCGTAAAGCACAAGAAAGCTGCCTACTGACTGGTCATTCCATTGGTCGGTCGAAGTTCGCGCAAGGTCGTTCTGACATGACCCGTAATGGGATGTCCTCAGATCTGTGTTTAACAGTAGCGAGAACTAAGATCTGATTTTAATGAGATTGTATCGAGCTCGATCTCATGATATTCAGTTATACATATTATTGCAACTTTTGGATCTCACAAGTAACATTAATTGTATATGGATGTGAGATCTTTGTTTTGTTCTTGATTTGAGTTTTAACTATTTTACATTTGGTCAATATCGGTTGTGATTTTTATCATCAATCGCTTTCCAGCTTTTTCGTTGCAAGCAAAGATTCTACCATCAGGGGTACAAAATGAATACAAAGAAGTGTCCTTGTTTAGATTTAGACGTTGTTTCACCAAGTCATGGCGATATTTTCTGAGGTCCCCGTTACAAATCAAATATTCTTGGGTGACCCTTTAGTTTCTTTTTTTGCCGTGTAGTCCTTGTTTTTGGTATTGTGAGCAACAAACTTAACAAAGACCAGTTCGGCCATTTATGATCTTGCGGATAACATGCGAGCAATCAATATCTACATCAGCGAACAAGCAACAGTCTTGGGAGAGATCTAGACATGTAGACGCGAAGCTTCCTTCTGTGACACATGATTCCAGTATCCTTGTAAAAGGTAAGGGTCACAGTTAATGTTAATGTCTGAGAGTGTTTGATACATGTACCTTACATAAGAAACATCCGATAAATCAGAGTTGACAGGCACATCCAAGCAGGAAACACACTCGCACAAAGTGACAAATTCGTGACGAGTGTACCCTGTAAAAGTCACGCAACGATCCTTTAAATACACCGTCAACTGAAATACAGCCTTGCCTGAGAACATACTTGATATGTCTTGAAATCACAAAGGTAGAACGCGAATAAACAATATCGTCTGTCGACAAACGATGTCAGCTCGGTAATCTGACAGCACTTTTCATATGTTGTCAAGCCCGCGATTACGTGTCATAAGGGGCAGATAACTCTAAGCCTGAAAATTGGAAAATGGCTTAATCAGAACACTCCAGTGATGTGTGGATTTACCATTTGACTTGTCTTTATCAGCAACTCTAAAAGATCTCGTTATTTAACAATCATTACTAACAACCACTCATCACTATTCTATGAAAACAATGAGATAAAGACATACCGTAACGTTAATACCGTCGGCCATTTTGACGTCGTATATGTTTATACAATCACATCACTTGTATCTAATGCTATAGCTTTATACTCTCCCATACTAAAAACACAAATGAGTATAATTCAAAGAAGGTTTCTTGTTGTGACTCACTGACTCTGTCTGAAAACAAGGTATTATTGAGGACTGAGCAATACCTTGCCTTCTGTACAAATGTACAGTCTCTTTCTCTGTTTTCCTCAGATGTTGCGTTTCCAAGTAAAAGCAAGATCTTCTCACATCTAAACAGAAAATGTATTTACACAGTACATTGACACCAATGTGCTCCTGGAAATGAAGATTAATGATGTTCACATTTGGCTCAAGCGAGTATCCATGTGTCATATTATGCAGTTAGGTGTGGACATGATATGTGAGATACACACAGATTATATATAGCTTATACTTTGTTACTATTCAACAATTGTTAACATTTATGAGAACTAAATGTAGGACGATACATTTAATGCATACGATTTACAGACGCAATATTTGTTTGGATGCGAGACTTACCGAGAGATGTGACCACTCGACACAGGGGTGTTCATAATGCCAGGTCAGTCCAAGAGTTTACAAATCTGAAAGAAGCACGAACACATCAAGAATACCTGTACATACCAGGTCATGAGTGAACTTTTCTTGTGTTACTCCTGACGATGAAAGTTTAAACTTTGCTTACTTTGAAAAAGATATACCTGATAAAACTATTTAAACCCTCAGGTGTTTCCTTATCGTAAATATTGTATATGCAGAGTATATGCAGTGTATATGCATTGTATATGCAGTGTATATGCAGTATGATGCAGTATGATGTAGTGGAGGCAGCAGATGTAGTGGAGACAGCAGATGTAGTGGAGGCAGCAGATGTAGTGGAGGCAGCAGATGTAGTAGAGGCAGCAGATGTAGTGGAGACAGCAGATGTAGTAGAGGCAGCAGATGTAGTAGAGGCAGCAGATGTAGTAGAGGCAGCAGATGTAGTAGAGGCAGCAGATGTTGTGGAGGCAGCAGATATAGTGGAGGCAGTAGATGTAGTAGAGGCAGTAGATGTAGTAGAGGCAGCAGATGTAGTAGAGACAGCAGATGTAGTATAGGCAGCAGATGTAGTGGAGGCAGCAGATGTAGTAGAGGAAGCAGATGTAGTAGAGACAGCAGATGTAGTGGAGACAGCAGATGTAGTAGAGGCAGCAGATGTAGTAGAGACAGCATATGTAGTAGAGGCAGCAGATGTAGTAGAGGCAGCAGATGTAGTAGAGACAGCAGATGTAGTGGAGACAGCAGATGTAGTGGAGGCAGCAGATATAGTGGAGGCAGTAGATGTAGTAGAGGCAGTAGATGTAGTAGAGGCAGCAGATGTAGTAGAGACAGCAGATGTAGTGGAGACAGCAGATGTAGTGGAGGAAGCAGATGTAGTAGAGGCAGCAGATGTAGTAGAGACAGCAGATGTCGTAGAGGCAGGCAGATGTAGTAGAGACAGCATATGGAATAGAGACAGCAGATGTAGTGGAGGCAGCAGATGTAGTAGAGGAAGCAGATGTAGTAGAGACAGCAGATGTAGTGGAGACAGCAGATGTAGTAGAGGCAGCAGATGTAGTAGAGACAGCATATGTAGTAGAGGCAGCAGATGTAGTGGAGGCAGCAGATGTAGTAGAGACAGCAGATGTAATGGAGGCAGCAGATGTAGTAGAGACAGCAGATGTAGTGGAGGCAGCAGACGTAGTAAAGTCTCTTTAGTCGCGCTGCATGACATGATTCTAAGCTCCGATCAAGGGAATATTACCTGCATGCTCATATTTGATGTAACTGGTACTTGCAGTAAAATGTTAGTCCACACAGGCAGACAGCAAAATAGTGATTGATATTATAAGCAAACATCCAGCAGGTCGGAGGATGTTGAACCCCCATCCAAGAAGTCACCTAGTATAACACAACTAAGCATGTGTTGCTGGACCACTTCTACACGGAATCAACTGCCTCAGGAGCCTATAGTGGATAGACGTCGGCAGAAGGAGTAAGTTTGTTTGTTGTTTAACGCCGCACTCAACAATATTCCAGCTATATGACGGCGGTCTGTACATTAACGAGTCTGGACCAGACAATTTAGTGATTGACATCATGAGCATCGATCCACGCAACTGAGATACGATGACATGTATCAACCAAGTCAGCGATCCTGACCACCAAATCCCGTTACCGCAAGCATGGGTTGGTGAAGATCTATTCTACCCCGGGTCTTCAGGGTCATCAGGAGTAAGTGGGTGAATATGTATTTACATTGCTTTTAGCAGCATTCCAGGAATATCATGGCGCGGAACACCAGAAACAGACTACACAGACTGAACTCATGATGGGAATAGAGCCCGGGCCTTCGACGTGATGAGTGAACTCTTTGACCACAACACTAACCCATCGCACCCCTGAGAGCGGAAGTTAAAATAAATGGGAAAAGGTAGTACCCATGATTGGCGATTGGCATAAAGTTGATAAAAGAACTGTACACAGTACATATTCTGTTTTACAGAACTCATATAAGAATCCATGTATTACCCTCACCCTCCCTTGGTAAATACAAGAATTTCTAAATTCTGACACTCCTTGTGTGACACACAAACTGGTATAAAAATGGCTATAAGTGTACCAATCATAACCTGTCTCAATATTTGCTAATCACTATCCAAAGCTAAAATTAATTATAGATAGTTGATAGATTTTCAAGGTGTTATGCCGCTTCTGCCCAGTTTGATTACCATAATACAATGTTAAATTTATAATCAATAATTAATAAACATCAATACCAATCTTGGTCTATGACCCCTCAATATGTGCTCATAAGTTGTATTGTCAACAGCTAAAAGAATCCATGTGTACACGTGAAAGGGCTATCCCATTTCTGGTCAAGGGGACATGAGTCATAATATAGTAAAAAATCTCTTAAAATTAACAGTATTGACTTCAGGCTTTGCTAATGCTATTTACTATCATCAGCCAAGAAGAAATCTTAAGATTCCATTATTTGTCTGTTTATAGGGGTTATCCCACTTCTGGTCAAGGTGATATGAGTGATAATATAGTAAAAGATCTCTTACAATTAACAGTATTGACCCATTACATTCAGATTCTGCTCACAAGTTTGAAATGTTATTTACTATGATCAGCCAAGAAGAAACTTACGATTCCATTAATTGTAGATTTTAAAGGCATTATCCCACTTCTGGTCAAGGCGACATGAGTGATAATATAGTAAAAGATCTCTTACAATTAACAGTATTGACCCATTGGATTCAGATTCTGCTCACAAGTGCGAAATGTTATTTACTATCAGTAGTCATGAAGAAATCTTCAGATTCCCATTAATTGTAGATTTTAAAGGCATTATCCCACTTCTGGTCAGGGCAATGTGAGTGATAACATATAATAAAACATATCTTAAAATAAACAGTTTTGACCCATTGGATCCAGATTCTGCTCACAAGTGCAAAATGTTATTTACTATCAGTAGTCATGAAGAAATCTTCAGATTCCCATTATTGAAGATTTTAAAGGCACTATGCCATTGATGGTTGAGGTAATTTGAGTGATAATACCTAATATGTTTTGACTGGTTATAAACATTTTAACAAATATTTTATGTGTTCTGAAACAAGCACTTTATCTGTAAAACTATCTGCATTGTGAGCAGAGTCATTGTAACTGTAAACACAGTCAAGAACTCTTCAGTAGGTTTTATCTTCTTAAGCGCTTTCTGTACACATTCACAGCTATTCCATGGATGTGGCACTCATGGTACTATGATGTTTACAAGTTGGTAAACTTGTATGCAATTAATATGAGTCGATGGACTCGATGTTCGATGGAACAACGTGTTGAAGAAAACGCAACACAGCGGTAACCATGCTTGATTGTTTACTTGCTATCCCATAATATTGTACAAGGGACATAACCTCGGTAATACTGCTAGTAAACATACCGCTTAACAAAAGGCTAAACACTACAGGTACCTACAGGAAAACTCTGTGTTCAGCATTCGCAGGCCTATCTGCTATTCAAATGTGGCGTTCCTGGCCAATAACCAGTTTTTCTATCATTTCTAATCCTGAAACCAGTAAAAACAATTGCTAAGCCAATCGCAATCACAACAGATTAAGTACATTAAACAAATAGGAGTCAAACTATTTATTGTTAAATTTCTTATTTCATATGTACCATTCTGCTATTTTAGGTCATTCCATTGTAGCATTACTATAATTAATGGGTGTCCATAATCATGTGTAGTCATACTGGGAGTAGTTGGCAGGGGAATAGCTATACTGTGAATGAACTGCCTGGCTGTCCTGGTGCACAAATAAAAGGCTCTACATGGTGGTTTGCCTTACAAGTATCTTATCAAAGATTACCAGCCTACCACCTCCCTGTTTATATTTTAATAAAAACAGTATAAAGTCACATCAAAGACCTATGCTTTCAGAGAACATTTGTAGATACTTCAATGTATCACTTTGTTGCTGCACTTCATGTCAAAATTTATTCCATTTGACCTTATATGCTACCTGTAAAAAGAGCCTTAAATATTATTAACACTATTAACACTATCATGGTGCTTGGCATCCTTCTAGAGTTTCAGGTTGCTGGTTCCCAGAAGTTGAGGTTAAAGGACACAAAACAGAGGGATGGAAAGAATACAAAATTGCTACCATCATCTAGCATGGACCCTTCAGTGAGCAAAAAACATACTGGAAGTCAATTTCTTCTCAAATAAAAATTCTTGTCCTTTACCTTGAAAGTAAGATTGTAATGGAACCGACTATCCTCAAACAAAAGCAAATTCAACAGTTGATATATCTTAAAAAGGTTGTGCCACTTCTTGACAGAATGATATATTTGATAATATTAAAACTTTATGGATGGGATGGTTTTTAAAATATAGGTGGTAAAACATATCTTACACTTGTGGCTCACCTGTTTTCATATATCTTACTTTAAGCTGTACTATAACTATATGTCACATGTATGAATCCCTGGATTGTTTGGTCAAGACTTGATTATTTACAGGCCACACTCATGCAGCTGGAATATTGACAAGTGTGGTGTCAAACAAGAAACAAATAATCTGCTTCATTTAGTGACACATCACTTTGAACAGTATTTCAGGCATATCATGGCATGTCAGATTAATCGGGGAAGGATTTGCCGAATATGATGCAATGCAAGTCATAGACGTTAACCACTTTGGTGAAACTCAAGAAGACAGGTATATTCTGCTGCCAAACCAAGAATCATAACCTGGACAATTCGGTGACTTGAATACACAGTCATAGTATTCTGGCATGTATAATGGTCACAACTCATTGGATGACTGGTTCTAGTTTGCAATAAAGACCCTGAAACAAATATATCCCAAAGAGTCTCTCCTTTTTATTATATTTTTATAATTATAATTTAACAACTTTTTTCATCTGTAAAATATGTTCATTTCAGAGACTAGGTGTTAGTCTATACTATATATATCCTGCTGGAACCTCTAAAACCTTTTGAGAATCTGAGCTACTACTCAAAGTATACCCTTACTTAAAAGAAGGTGTCC